ATTCTTGTAGCGAGTAATAGTTTTTGTTATTTAATAATCGTTTCAGTTGGTTTACAAATGACTTTGCTGTGGTTGTGTTTTTTATCGAGTCTGGCAATTTGTTATATATTTTTATGGACATTACTAAAGGGCCTGATGCGTGTAGTTTGAGATTAGAAGTAGGAAGTATTAATTTGTTTTTATTTCGTAGTGAGTATTTTAAGTTTAAATCACCTTTTTTTTTGTAGAATTCGGGGTAATTTTTGACAAACTTACATATTTCCAGAAGATATACATATACAGGGCAAAGTTAGTATTTTATATTTTTCGAAAAGGGGTTTACAACTTTCAGTACTTTCAATGTTAAATATTATACGGATTAGTTTTTTTTGCATAATGAAGAGGTTGGGGGCGTCTGTGCTGTTTCCCCACATGATGATCCCATAGCTGAGCCACGAGTGTGCGTATGCGTAATAAGCAGCAAGGGCCGCATCTATGTCAGTGGTTTTTTTGACCTCACGAAGTGCGTAAGCAAAGGAAGATAGCCTAGTTTTAATTTTTTGTATGTGTGGTTTCCAATTTAAGTTAGTATCTATTTCAATTCCTAGGAGCGTGATTTGATTGACGGTTTCTAATTGTATGTCGTTGCATTTGAAAGTAATATCTAAGGGGGCTTTTTGATATGGGTGGAAGGTGATGATTTTAGTTTTAGTGACGTTAATTTCAAGATTATGATCTTTCATCCAGTTTATCGTTTTGTTTAACATTAAGGATAGATTAGAATGGATATTTGTATTTTTTTTATTACACGAGGTCAGAAGGGAGATATCATCTGCGAACAGAACACATGGTTCTTGCATGATCTTAGGGAGGTCGTTTATGTAAATAAGAAATAATAAGCAACCAAGGACACTGCCCTGGAGAATGGACGCGTTTATGATTTTTTCTTCCGATCTTACTATTTGCACTTGTCTTGAATCATGGTTGTAATATTCAATGCGATTTTTTAAATACGACGCGAGCGAATCGTATGTTTTACCTCGGATACCAATGCCATATATTTTTTTAAGTAAGATATTAAATTGTACCTTATCATATGCTTTTGTCATGTCTAATAGGACACCAATTGCATATTCTTTATTATTAACTATATTCAAGACTTCCTGGATGTATTTGAAGACTGCCAATACGGTTGATCGCTTTTTACGAAAGCCGTTCTGGCAATCATCGAATATTTGGTACTTTTCACAAAAATTATAGATGCGATTACACATGATTTTTTCAAATACTTTTGAAATGGATGATAAGAGAGCTATCGGACGATAGTTATTTGGATCAGATTTCTTTTTTTTTTTTGTGTAATGGTTTTATTATGGAGACTTTTAATTGATCAGGAAAACATCCTTCTTGAAAGGATTGATTTATAAGTAAGCTAAGTGGCAAATTGAGTTCAATAATACATTGTTTAATTAAGCTAGGGAGGAGTTCGTCTATACCGTAACTGTTTTTATTTTTCAATAGTTTTATGGTTCTGTTAATTTCGTTGCTGTCAACTGGCCAAAGAAACATCGTATTTTCCGAGGGAGAGAGAACAGGATGACCGACAGCTGTAGATGACGGGTTCTCGCCAATGGATGAAAAATATCTATTAAATGTGTTTGCAATTTGCAATGGTTTTTTTATTGTAGTATTATTAACTACTAGCTTTATGTTATTTTTTCCTTTTTTGTTATTTTGGTTCGTCCGTTCTTTTATTATGCTCCACATTGTTTTATATTTATTCGATGACATTTTAAGTTTATTTATATAGTGTTTCTTTTTAGATATGTTAACCACTTTTTTCAACAATTTTTCGTATTTTTTATAGTGTTCTAGTAGAATCGGATTTTTATTCTTTAATGTAAGTATTTTCAACAATCGCTTATTTTGGGATGATATTTTTATACCAGTCGTCAGCCAATATTTTTTATAGTTAGTTTTTAACTTAATTTTTTGTTTTGGTATACATTTATTTAAATTATCTAACATAATTTTATGGAATATTTCATAATTATCGTTGATATTTTTATCATATGATACTATACTTTGCCACTGTATGCTTTTTAAATTTGACTTAAATTTCTGTATATTAGAGGTGTTGTAAAATCTTTTTTCAGTTTTCCAGGTTACTAAGCTATCGAATGGATTTGACTCAAGGGTAAGTATTGTTGCGGCGTGATCAGAAAAACCGAATTCTTTAACTCTTGTAATATGTTGTTGTTTATCTAGGTTAGTGAATATAAGATCTAAGCATGTTGATGACGTGGGTGTTATATGAGTAGGGTCTTTAATGCATTGAGTTAGATTATATTCAAACATCGCATCTAAAAATTTGTTTGTTTTGAGAGTATTTAAAAAAATATTTATATTAAAATCTCCTCCTAGGATAATTTTATATTTAAAGAATTTTTTATTTACATAATTTAGTATTGTGTGGTGCAGTTTAGCCTGATAAAGTGTTCTGTAAATTGTGATTTAATGAGTAAATTGTAAATTGTTTATACGATACTGTATGTTCTTTGCTGAAATAAACAAATTTGAAAGAAAAAAAGGAAAAGTATTGTAATTTTGGTATAGATGACCTCATTGCAGACCTAAAAAACATGGCAACGATGTTAATGCTCAATTAGGAATTAGAAGGTTTAGTGCAGCACCTTTTTTTATAATACCCAGTGATGGAACGAACAAGTCGTGCGCGTGAGCGACACATCTGTCCATAACAGTTGTAGTACCACTTAGTGCTTTAAATCACATAGATCTGAGGACCATTGCCACTGCGCCCATCATCCTGAGACATAAGTTGATAAGTCCCATGTGCACAGGCACAAGGGTTAGGGTGCCGGTATAAGTCTGTACTTACACCGGCACCCTTACCCTTCAAAACTGTAACACAGTAATGCTCGCATTTCTGCTTGGCGGTAGAAGTAGGTAAGGTGGCAGTACTTTCCTGGAAGAACTTTTTCATCGGGAGCTCTACTGCTACTGAAAACTACTACCTGAGATTATATTATTAATAAAACACGCCTCGCGTGCATAATATAGTATTTATAAGTGCACGGACGGCTATCAAGGGTGTATAGAGTTATTATTTAGAATAAGATAAAAGAAATTACAAACTCTCCCTTGCAATAAAGATAGTTATTTGTTATGTATGGCTGCAAAGTTGTTGCTTGAAGCGAGTGCTTGTATTCAAACCTGAGCAAGCGAAGGATTCTAAGATTGAAGTTTAAAAATAGAATCCTAAGCGTAGCGAGGAGGGTCTCAAGACACGATACGCAAAACAACTTTGCTGCTGAGTGAAACACACAACTTTTCACCTCACTATAGCGAGGAAAATAGTAGATGAAAAAAAAACAGTTGAACAATAACATACCAGTTTTAATAAAACAAAATTGGTCATCGTTGTCAATTCAATTTCAACAATAATAAGAATAAAATATACCAACGGATTTATATTACATAAATAATGTACGACTAAACGCGTACTTAAACGTATCATTATGTTTTTTTGGCTGTGTAATGGAAAATATAACAACAAATAATCTATTTTCACTTTGTATAACAACATTTGATATAATTTCTAAGGATATAATCACTCACTGTATATAATCAACAAAAGGTATAACAACAAAAGGCATAATTTCAATGTGTATAATAAACCTTCAGTATAACAAACATTAGATATAATGATTAGGTGACTTAACGAACAAATGATATAAGTACTACCAGTATAATATATTAAATAATATAATACAATATTTAGTTTTACGAATAGTTGGAGCGCTTAACTAAATAAATTAGCAAGTATACCTGAAAGAGAAACATGACAATTCTTTATTTATTATTTTCCGTGGGTGATTTTAAAATAATATATTTATTAACATTTTAAGCACAATATTTAATTGCATATACTAACCTAACCTAAACCCATAGGAGGAGGTCGAACCAACTAGCAAATGCAAATAAATTCGGTTCTGGCAGTCGTCGGCCGCTGCCGCAGCACGCTCGCTGCACTCGCTCGGCTCGTGCAGCTTTCTCATATACTAACCTAACCTAAATACACAGGAGGAGGTCGAACCTAGGTACTAGCAAAAGAAAACAAATTCGTTTCACTCCCTATTGCACCTAAACACCACTCGAATTAGATTTATAATACATTATACTTAGTGAATGTTATAACTGAAGTGTTTATATGAAATGAACATTATGCCATCGGTATATTAGATTGAAAGTTAAATCAATCGTCTATTATACCCAGTGACCTATAAATCATGCAGGAATATGTCAAATGTTTGTATACCATAAATTAATTATATCTGCTAAACGTTATATCGATTAAAAATATGTCATTTGTTGTTATATAGTACGAACCGCACCCTGTTTTTTTCATCGAAATAAAAGTTAGATGCCCTTTGGCCGCGTACGAAATCGGTGGTTAGACGCACCGCAGTCCAACGTTAGGTTCGAATTTAAAAACCTTTTCCACTCTAACGTGGTAAAACTGGTTTTGCACGTGGAATTCTAATGAGAAAGAAAGCCTTTCCGAGCTAGTGAGGTAAAAAAAAAATTCGTAATATAATGCGCAATTCTGCTTTAATGCTTAAGATAATTAGATAAATAGACCTACTGTTTAAGCATATAGCTTCCAGTTGCTCAGAAGTGAAGTGAAGTCACATAGATTAATTCGTGAAAATTATGTAACGGTGAAGAAATAATGTAGATGCACAATATTTTTAGATAACTGCATTATAATGCATATATTGCATATACGCAATCATTCCATACCAATAATAAACCGGTAAAAATGTTGTTCAGCCGGAAACAAGCATCGCGTTTGCTACACAATTTCCTCGACGACATTTCCCGGGTTTCGTTATGTCGCAATTTAATTAGATTGCTCATTAACGCAACAATTACTATAATGACTCGAGAGTTCTAGAAATTTGAACGTTACGTGATTTAGTAACAGGCAAATTTTACATGTACGGGATGTATTTGAAATATCCGATTTCATTTTAGCTGCTGATCGTCTTGAGAGTAAGCTGTGATCATGGTAATGGTAAGGGTTTACTGTAAAAAATAAATACACCCATTTAGATCTCAAAAAAGTAGTTGTTGTAGTAGTAGTAGTAGTTTCATTTCCTATGTACTCATGAGTAACAAATTGCTTTTAGAGCAAATCGTTGTCTTCAATTTTAAGCCTATATTAATGAATAATATCTTTAGCGGACTGTATCAATTGGGTCCGGGTGGGTGGTATTGAAGAGTGATAAGGAAACGTATTTACAGTATATTTACACGACACTACAGTTACAACAGAAAAACAGAAACAATGGTCAAATAGAAGAAAAAGGCGCCAAAAACAAGTGCATTTAAATTTAGAATTTAAATATAAAAATATTAATAAACTTATAGCGACTAGATAGATAAAATAATTGTCGCTGCAGTATTTATATATGTTTTTTTCATAATACTAAGTTACGGGACGAACAAGTCATGTGCTTGTTGGAAAGCTACACGCCTGGCTATAACAGTTACAGTGCCACTCGGAACTCAGAACTTTAAATTGCAAAGATCTGAGGTGCACTGCCAATGCGCCCGTCACCCTGAGACATAAGTTGACAAGGCCTATGTACCTGTAATTTCACCAGCACCCTTATCCTTCAAAACCGGAACGCAGTAATAGTTACATTACTGCTTGGGGACAGAAATAGGTAAGGCGGCAGTACTTCCCTGGATGGACTCTTTCACGAGGAGCTCTACTGTTGCTATATTTATGCAGCCAAGCAGTAATTGAATATTAATGTGTTCCAGTTTTGTAGTTCTTTGCGATTTGAAGCTCTGAGTGACACTGCAATCGTAATAAGCAGGCGTGTCGCTTACCATCAGCTGCACGACTTGTTCGTCGGGATAATCTTAGTACAGTTTCAAAACTGATTTGCCAGATGTGAGGAATACAGCCTACAGTGCTTAAGGGAGATAACAGCTGCATAGAATAAAAATGATATACCCTTAGAATATAGAATGGACAACGATAAGGCACACTGAATAAAACAGACCTTCGGTAAAAATGCGTTGCATAAATTTCAAAATAAACATCCACTAATAATAATTTGCACAGTAAAGTTGAACTGTTCAGTGGCACTCAAGTGCTAACGTGGTTCCGACAAACAAACCTAAAAAAGTATAAATAGAAAGTTACAGTTTTCTACGTCACTAGTACTCGTATCTCTCTTTGATAAGTACCCATAAGTACTGATAGCGTGTATAGAAGAAACCAAGAAAGGAAACTGAGTGGAAAACTTTGTAAGACATGCTTGGCTCTTGTGAAGTACTTTGACATTTTACGACTGATATAGTTTGGTTACCGGAAGACTCAGTTTTCTGTGAAATCTGTATTCGATTGTCGGGTCTTCGCAAAGCATAATATTTGCTGAAGTCTCATCTTGGGAATACAGTTTGTATGAAGATAATGGGACTAAACAAATTGGATAGTACAATCTATTTCCACACGATATGAGATAATGTCATATGGTTATTGTTTATGGTAGCCTTGTGCTTGATATTTCTTTATTCACTAATGATTGTATGGATTTGGATGTATTGTACATTAGTCATTGATGAGACAAAATAGTGATGAAATTGAAGGTCTCATCAAATTGTTCGTAATATTGGAGATAATATTATATATATTTACTATTTCCCATAATAATTTTGTGCGTACTTAGAAGTCATAATAATATTACGCAAAATAAATCAGCGTAATATTTCATTTTGGGATTCTATGCAGATGTATTGTTATACCTCAAAACAAGATAGATTTGAATTGTGCGAAAGTAGATCTATATAATAATTGTCTATTAACAATAAACAGTACATTGTTTTTTTTTTGTATGTATGTTACGCGATAACTCCGGTATTTATGAACCGATTTTCATATTTCTTTTTTATTGGAAAGAGGGACCTCCATAGTGGTCCCATTTAATTTTGAAGAAAATCATCCACCACTAAGGGTGACTGTTCACGCAAGAAGATTAATTTTTATAAATAGCGCCTAAATTTTATTATAAGGAGCAATTATTTTGATGGTTGATTTTGCTATTCTCCAATTCAAGGCTTTTTTCTCTCTCAATATACTTTGAGTAGTGAAAACCGATTTTTATTATCTCCTGTGTCAAGACTCGTATAGTGCCGAAGTATGGGATGAATCCGCGTTTGCGCACTTTCCTGTATCCGATTTCAATAAAACTTGGTAATTATATTATGTAATTCCATGTACTTTTGAGGTCGGTTTTTTAGTACTCTGTTCTGAGATTATTTAAAATACTTTGTGTAGAAGATTCTGTCAGATTGCACATTCTTTTCGAATCTTCAATTTCGTCTTCTTCGTAGGTTCCTCACTACTGAGGATGCAAGTACACCTTCAATGGTTCTTCTCGAATTTCGCTCGAAGTCAAGTAAGTAAGTGTTCTACTATAATTGTTTACACACTATTTAACCGACTTCAAAAAATTCTCCATTTATCCTCTCCAATTTAAAGTTCTGAGTGGTACTGCAACTGTTATGGACAGGCGTGTGGCTTACCACCAGGCACACGACACATTTCGGGGTTCAAGTCGAACCTGTCTAATCTATTCTAATCCTAATGGGTAATCTAATCCACAAACGCTACGAAAAATTGTCCCACAAAGGGGGGTTACGCTTGACAACCCTTAACGGTAGTCAAGTTCGTTACGAAATCGAAAATAAATAATGCAGACTACTTTTCTATAGAAATATGAATTTGTATATTCACGTTTACACATTTTAATGAAAATAGTCAGTAACCACAATTTGAAGGCTCAGGTATAAGGTAAAAAGTTTCTTAATTAAAGTGAAGTAATTACTTCGGTCTTTTTATGGCCACAGTAATAAACCTTCGGCACAAGATCGCTTGAAATTTAATTAAAAATATTTTCATTTTATAAAGGCATAAGAATGAAAAAATTTGCTTTGTTTAAAATAAAGAAAACATGTTGGAATTCGTTTTACTTTGTCGTGTTTAATTTGTACTTTTATAAACCACTTTATTATGAACCGACACAGACGTCGACTTGCACTGAACCTGATCATATCTCAAACCATTGTTTGTAATGCAAATGACACTATTAATACATTGTGTGTTTAGTAGCAGTAGAGCTCCTGGTGGAAGAGTTCTTCCAGGGAAGTACTGCTATCCTAACTATTTCCACTGCCAAGCAGTAATTTGAGCTTTATTGCGTTCCAGTTTTGCAGCGTAGAGTTGCTGGTGAAATTACATGCATTTGGTACTTGTCAACTTACGTCTGAGGGTGATGGGGCAGTGGCAGTCCTCTCGGATATTTGCGATTTAAATCTATGACAGGCGTATTGCTTATCACCATCACATGGTGTCATAAAAAAGAGTAATTTAAGCATTTAAGCATTGCTTTAAAACATACTTAATTTTAGTGCAAGTGGACATTACAAATCTGGGTTCTTGATAAACAACTAGTAATAATTAAATTAGAGCAATCAAAGCTAACCAAGTGATTGGCCACGTCGTTCCTCAACTGATGATGTAACCAAACGTCCGTCTATTACTAATAAAAACAGTAAAAAGAATTCTGGGAGACTACGGGTTCTCCGGTAAGACCAGGGTACGGCGGGCTTCCGGGCCAAGGCCTCACTGGCATCTCTTATGAACCCGAACTCTGGGTATGGACTCGCCGGGGCTTATTGTAGCTGCAGAGATGGACATGTTCATCTGCTTCAGTATTGTATGACTAAGGAGTCTGTCTCGCAAGCAGGTAGCGCGTCATATAGTAGCGGTCTAGACGAGGGCCTAAGGCGACGAGACGTGCGGGCACGTTAGTTGCCCTTTAAGTTGGAAGCTATATCCGGACATTGTCGCAGGACACTGCGACGGGCATCTCCGGCACTGGCCTGTAGAGCTAATAGGGGATGAGCTAGACATTCTACGGATGCGACGATTCGGGAGGGCAACTCGCCGACAGTTCCGCTACCAAAGTGGAGATTTGGTAGTCGATTTTAGAGTCAACGGCTTAGGGGTGGCAACCATTACTTGTGCAAAACACAACGGGAAGTGACCGTGCCAACAGCTCCGGTACCTATCGGAAAATAGGGAGGGTACTGTACACGTACCAGGGGCCGCTCGCCCGAGGCACGAGCCTTTTGAGAACCTGATGAAATCCGTGACAACGTTCTGTGACAGCCCATGGACAGGGTTGGACCTGAAGTTATAAGGTCCCTGTGCTTGCACAGGTTGTAGTGCCCGTCCCCCGATAACCAAGAGGTTGATAGGGAGAGTCACTATAGTTAAAACTTAATTAGAAAGGTTCGGGACTGGCCCAAGCTTGTACAAAGAATCCTAAAACATATATTCTTTGTAATGTTAATATTTTATAATATTTTATATTTTTTTTTATAATGTTAATATTGCTTGCAAATAGTAGTTTACTCTTATTTTTTTTCCAAGAATGTATTTTTTTTTTATTCACATTTTTTTCCATGAATGTATTTTATTGTTCTTTATTTTATTCACTGAACAGAGATGAATTTCCTGCCGCCGTCAATTCAATTCTCTCTGCAAGAAAAATATCATTTGCCTTTTCTGAGCCAAGAAAAATATCCAATACCTATCATCGGAGACTATCACTATAAGGCAAAAAACAAACATGGAAACTGTTCGCACCTCCCTTTGGCTTACGACCGGAACATAAGGATACGCGTCCAATATAAAATGCCACCCAATAAGCTGCAATTTCACTGAAATTTTAAAGTCAGCAATAGGTCCATTTAAGCTGGCTACGAAGTAAAGACGTAGAATTCGAAAAATTCAATTTCCTAACTGTGAATTTAGTGAAGAACGTAAGAAATAACCGGCTTTCAGACCGAAGTAAGGTTACCATAATTTTTACTTCAAATCTTGAACCTTTTCTTCTACAATTAACAAAAGAAGGTAAGCAGAATATGATAGTAGCCATCCGTGTCTTGAGTAGTTATCATGTTGGCATTTCATTTAAGAATTTTAGTAATAGTATTATTGTGTTTTCAATGTTTCTTTTTTTTTTAACACAAGTTTCTAGGTCTTTCGAAGTTTGAAATCTTCTTATAAAATAATATTTATAAATATCCTCAGTGAAATATTCGTCCCGAGTGTGAAATGACGCATTTTTCTGTCTAATCATCACTGCTCTAACTGCTTTAGAAGTGAATCTGATTGTATTGCATTTATAGTATTACATACTACCGAAATACATTAAATCACTTGCGTGATTTAACCTACAAATAAGCCTTCTAATAACACAAAACTTGTAAGTTGCATTGCAATTATAACTTTTTTTTTAAAACAGACCTCAAAACTTGACCTTCCTGGTACTAGATCCATTTGCCAAGTTTTATTGGAATCGGTTATCGGAAAGTGCACGAAACCGGATTCATCCCCTAGTTTGCCAACATTGCAGGTGAAATATTTTCTTCGAATTTAAATGAGACCAATACTGCGATACCCTCTTTCGAACAAAAAAGAATCATTATAATCGGTTCACAAACGCCGAAGTTATCGCGTAACATACACACAAAAAAGTATTATCGTACTGAGAACCTTCTCCTTTTCAAGTCGGTTAAAAATAAACCACAATGACACTGTCAGATGTTTTGATTTAGTTGTTTTTATATTTTTTGTCTGTCTCAATAGATAACTAATTACATTTCTTTGACTTTACTTCAATATTATTAGGCACCAAAGCACCAAATTTGACGTTGCGAAAATTGGTACAATTTGTTATAAATCAGCTAACTCAAGCACATTTTGAAGTTACAAGTGACATTAATTAAATGATATTAATAATTAGGTTTTATTCTTATCAGCTGTGAACATGGGAAGTTGAATGTTTGAATACCTCAGTTGTCGAGAGTCTTGCATACCAGTTTTCACAGTGTCGCCGTTTCTGAGCACCCGGGTTCAGTCCCCGGGCGGGCTTTAGAAGTACTAACTTTTCTATATTGTCTCGGGTCTGCGTGGTCGTAGTACCGTCGTTGTTTCCGATTTCCACAACACATTGCTTTAGTTGCATACTTTGGGATCGGAGCAACGTTTGTGATGTTGTCTAATGTATGTTGTCTAATATATATATCCTCTAATATAATATTAAATGCGATTGTTGATAAACCACACCATAGACACTGATTTTTTTTCCTTGGAAAAGTAATCCTTTAAAATTAGAATTGTAACTAAAAACTTATGATATTTACATTTTTCAAATCCATTTTTCTCAAAACACGACTTAGCGACGGTTGGGTAGGGATAAGTGGAAAGGAAATTTCACCCATCCTACCACCCGTCACTGGTTGCAGTGACGGGTGGTAGGGAATAGTGGAAAAAATCCGCTTGTTTGTTGTGAAAAACCAAGGGGGACAGCTAGTGGGAACTAGTGGAATGGGCTCGTTATCGAGTATATAACTATACTCGATGGGGCTCGTTTTTCACGGAAGGTTTGGAAACGTGCTTTTAGTATTGGATAAAATTCTGTTTTGTCGAATTGCTGCTAAGTATGGTCACAGTAGTAGGAATAGGAGAATGTGAAACGTAAGAAGTGTACATATCACACGTACGCCGAGTTTCTGTCTCGGGACTTTAAAGTGCTCTAAGTGTAGGTGTAGTCACTTTTAATGTTTATTCATGAGATAATTAGTTGAGCTTAGCCACCTAATTTAAATTTTGTTTGGTATGAAGAGAGCCATGTATTACATAGTA